CGGTCGGGCCGGCTGCTGGTGCCTGCCTACAGCTACCACATCGACTGCAAGGAGTGCTTCGGGCAGCTCTGCAAGACCACCCCTCACTCCTTCGCCTTCTACGCCCTCTACAGTGATGACCCCGGCCGAGGCTGGCGCTTCGGTGAGTTCATCCCCAACCTGCAGACAGGCGAGTGCCAGCTGGTCTCGGTGGACGAGGAGGATGGCTCCAACGTCCTCTACTGCAACGCCCGCAGCCCCCTGGGCTTCAGGGTCCAGGCGCTCAGCACGGATGACGGGGCTGTCTTCCACGGGGGGCAGCTGGTGCAGCGGCTGGTCGAGCCCCCCCATGGCTGTCATGGAAGCGTTGTCGGCTTCCCTGCACCTTTTGTCTATGTCCCTGCCCCACCCCGGGATGCCGTGGTGCCCATCCGGGGCTCAGCTTCCCAGTTGCGACCTAGGGTGCTCCCGGGATTTCGGTACCTGCCCGCTGGGCAGGCAGTGGGTGATGAGCTGTCTGCAGTAGCCACTGAGCCCGAGGAGGGCTGTCCTACCCCCGGGCATCACAGCCATGCCCATGGCAACACCTTGGTCCGAAGGGACCCTGCAGTGACCCCCAGGCCCGCTGGCTTCTTCCAAGCACCGACATGGATCCTCTACTCCCACCCCACCAGCTCCATGTCGCGCGTCAACATGGGGGTTCACCTGAGCACCTTCCCCAGGGATGTGGAGAGCTGGACTGAGCCATGGGTCATCTATGAGGGCCCAAGTGCTTACTCAGACCTGGCTTACATGGAGCTGCCCTACAACGAGGCCTCCATCGCTGGTGGCCCAGCCATTGCTTTCGCCTGCCTCTATGAGAACGGGACACGGTCACCCTACGAGCAGATCTCCTTCAGCATGTTTACACTGCACGATGTGCTCCAGAACATCCCCCTGACAGCCACTAGTTCCCAGCAGGATGGTAGCCCCCCATGCTGCAGGAAGCAGGGGCGAAGGCGCTGCCTTGTCTCTTAGTGTCCGCCAAGGTTGGCTCCCCCCACTCCCTCAACACCAGTCCCCAGGGCACCAACCCAGAGAACAGTGCACTGGGGTGCTCACAAGGTTCCTGCCATCGTTCAGCATGGCCACATCACACAGAAGGCTGTGCTGCCATCCCAAACCTGGGGTTAAACTGGTTTTTATTGCTATTTTTAAGTGTTATAGTTGGTTGGGCATGGAGGCTCCTGCCGCCAGCCCAGTCCTGGGCTCCTTTCCCTTGATGACACAGGGATGTTCTTTTTGCTGAGCAGTGCTTACACAGACCACACCACCACTGAGTAGTCTGGGGGTGCACAACATGTTGTGAGGGGACACAGCCGGGACTCCTGACCATAACTGACCCGGGGGATATCCCATACCATATGGCTGGTGGTGAGCAACTGTTTTCATTTGCGTTCCTTGTCTATCTTGGGGTTTATTTCTTTCTTTCTCTTTGATATTTTCCTTTTCACTACAATTAATAATTAATTGGCATTATTATTATTTTATTTCAATTATTAAAATGTTCTTATCTCTACCCACGAGTTCTCTCACTTTTACTTTCTGATAAACCATGACAACCCCCCATTTACTGTTTCACCTGGCTGACTGCTTGGCTTTTTTAAGCTACGTTGGACATTGCTACCTTCCTCTGAACCTTGTCAGTTTTGGAGCAAACATCATCCCAGCACAGGTTCAGGTCTTTGTCCTGGTAAAGGTTTAGGGGACAAGGGCGAAGAAACAGGGATGCACTGAAGCTGGTGACAGCCCTGGCAGGTGCAGCGATGGGTCCTGAGCCAGTGGGGATGAATAGCTGCTCCTCTCGTTTGCTGCATGCATGCATGTGTGCGTGTATGGGTTTATGGGTGAACTTTGGGGGCTACACCTTAATTCCACCACTGTGTCCCTCAGCACAACTCCATCCAAGTCCTCCAGCCCCAGCCAGAGCCTGGCTCTGCTCTTCAGGTCTCCTTCACCTCTCCTGCCCTAAATACAGATTGATTAATGAAAACGAGTTAAATGTTCCAGCTCTTACCACTACAAATACCATCGTGTCCCATTTTGCACGGAGGTGCGTGGAGGCT